TTTTTAAACATAAGCACACTCTTTTTTTTTATTATTTTGATGGTATAAGTTTCTATAAAACTAGTACAGCTCTAAAATAAATGAATATCATATTAGATGATGTTCCTCGTTATGTTATTTTTCCACATTAAACATGCATCTTAGAAGTTTAGTCATGGATTGCAGTAAGGAAGCCACACTGCTTATAAAATACCAGGCCTGAATAGAACCTAGTGTGAATATACTGAATTGTTTCTGGTACCTGAGGGAGCTTGGCTGTTTGGGCAGAAATGCAGGTTTTCCTCAATGTGCTGTCTTGTGCCCCAGGCAGGGGTCAGCAGTGTTTATGGCTAAGTGACCGCTGCCCCTTAGGGTGTAATTAAAGTTCCATCATTTTAGCCATAAACTGCTCTTAGCTTTCAAATTTATAACCATGGTGTTTGTAATAAGATTAAATAAAGTTAAGAACCTCTATCTAGCAGCCTTCTATTCAAGGCTATTCCTTAAGTTAATTAAAACGACACTGTCCTTCTTGTATAAAATATAATTGTGTTTGTCTTGGAGTTTGGTGTTGCAGAAATTCTGTGTTTGCTTTGTGAAGCAGATTATTGCACAACAGGGCCAGAATGATGCAAATGAAGGAGCAAATCCAGGACAAAGACCTTGCAACCCCCTAACCCTTCTCAGAAGGTGTCTTCTCTGAAAGGGCTAGTGCTGCCATGGAGGGTCCTGGTCAGCATCCAAAAATAAATCATCATCCAAAAATGTGGTATGGATCAGATTGCTTAGCTTTTCCAAATTCCACATTTGCATATTAGTGCTCTCATCCCTGAGATTGGCTTTGATTTTATGACTTATTTTGCAGTCAGATGCTGATTTTGAAAGCATAAAATTAATAAAAAAAGGACTTTTCTTGTATGATCAGCCAAGTGAAGATGGGTGAAACAGCTGCAGTCATTATTACAAATCTTCTTGACTTGTGGGTTGACCATCAGAGTTATATAAAGAAAAAATAACTGGAAGATTTAGAGAAGTCTCTGGCAATACATGCATATTTCTGGTAAATAGTATTACATTTCTCTGACTCTTCCCAAATTCTGTGGGTAACTTGTGTTGTTCAAGGTGTCAGGTGATTCTCACTGTCTGTTAACTTGCTATAGTAACAAAGTACTAAATGAGGGTTCTTAAAAAAGAGGGAAAAGGACTTTTTACGTGGGCAGATAGGACAAGGGGGAATAGTTTCAAACTAAAAGATGACAGTGTTGTCAAAATTTCAATGAAAGTACATGTGTGGAGTACAAAAATACTGAAGGATTTTAGAATCATAATTAATTTACAGTGAATGTCTTTCAATTGATAACATACATTGTATTTAATATTTTGAGACAAAATTTACTGGTGCATTAAATAGGTCAAAACTTTAATCATAAGTCATAGCGAAATACACATTTGTTGCTTTAAAGTAGTTCAGTGGAATTAGTGAAAGCAGCCTAGATCCCCTCATAAGCTATCTGAAGCTAAGCCAAAAATAGTGGATGTTAATTCCATTTCTATCCTAATCCTTTCTCTGCTTGTCTAACAATTTTCTGTATATTCATAGTAGAGTAACTGCCTCAAAAATTCATACTTTCTTATTTGTGTATTCAGGTGTGAATTTCCTTTGGTGTGATTTTCCTTTCAAATCACAATCTTTCTGACAGACTCAGAAGTTAAAGTAGGTACTTTTGAGTAAAATTCCTTTCCTATAAATTATATTTTTACGTTTTAAAAATGAAAGTTAAACCAAGCAGCCTGCTCTGCCCTGCACGGACAGAGAAAGTTGGTTTGGGTGCCTATGTACCCACAAAATCAGTGTGCTTCTATCCATGTTTCATATGGGTAATCCATTCCTGATGAGCTGATTCACAAAATACAAAGGAGTTGCATGGCTGTGACATTGAAGAGGTTCCATGTTTTGGGGTTGGATTTTTGAAAAGTTTCACACTTCGTTCTCCGTGCGTGACCCAGCCCCTCGCTGGCCGAGGTGTGGGAAGGACCATCCAGACCCTTCTGCTTCCCAGGAGGGATGGGCTGGACCCCAGGCTCAGTGGGAGGTCTGGCACCTCGGGAGGTGTGTGTGCAGTGTTGGGCCTCTTCTCAGAGGATTTTTGTGCACCCTGAGCAATCAGTGCCAGGAGTGCATGTGTGAAATGCAGAGTTTGGGAAGGCCCAAGGCCATAGGAGAATTATTGCAATTATGCTACTGTGGGACACTGGTCTGTCTGAGCAACAGTGTTCAGATGCTGTTGGGAGTAGCTGGTTAGAATATTCTACATGTACATGTGTAATATATGTAATGATTTCACCTGCAGTGGGGCTAAAATAAATTTCTTCTGAGTTTTCTTTGGAGGTTTCCTTGCCAGCATCACCCTGGGTGTTGCTTTCAGTGATGTCACTATGTTTGGTCTGTTTCACCCATCTGAATGTCTTGTGTGTGAGGTGACGAGTTTCAAATGCATCGCTTCTTTCAGTTACAGAGACTTCTGCAGCAATGTCCATTGCTACTTAAAGAAAGCAAATGGAGCCTTGGTTTCTGTGTACATGTATTTGAGCGCTGTAAACTTTGCAAGAGAGCACTTCAAACTTCCCACAGCCTTGTGTCATTTGTAACAGGATATGTTTGAAGCTTTCTTTCATCTGAGTCTCAATATTTGTGTCTGAGGATTTCCATTAGTAAGTGTTGTTTCATCCAGGTGTGTGTGAGAGCCTTTGCAGGTGTTACCTTTTAAAGAGATTACATATAAGGTTTTCACCTTGTAGGCAGCTATTGCTCTGGTGTTTAATCCTCTTGACTCCTTTGAACCCTGTCTGGCAGACTATACTCATGTGCAGAAGTGACTGCAGGAGAGGTAACATGTATGAAGGATGGGAATTCACCTTTTTTCTGCATACAGTCCAAATTGGAGCAACCCTATGCTAGAGGATATTGCTGCTGGTCACAAGTCCCTGATACACAACCCACAATGAGAATTTTTGTAAGAATGTGATTGCAAATATTATTATTTTTTAATGTTGTCATGCTCAATTTAATTTCATGATGGAAAACAGCCAACACAAGTGGATTTCAGGTGATGGGAAAATTGCAGCCTGTTAGCCTGCCAATGTTAACAGTGGAAATGAAATTAATTACAAGCACTGATAGCTGCCTGGATCAGCTGTAGAGCTCTTGGTTGGCAGAGGGAGCAAAAGGCATGTTCTTATCTGTTACACTGGTACGTGACTCTTGAAGCCTGTAAATATCACTTTAAAAGGATCACATATGAGAGTGCTGAATGTGAGCCATTGCAACCACGGTGTCCTTGATGGTAGGAGTGAACTTCCCTGTTACATTTGCAGAGTGCTTTTGTTCACCATGTGCATGTACCTTTCCATTCCACACATTAATTTTTATTTTAGTGATATAGTGCACAAGAAATTGTGCAGGTTTCTGTCAGAGACCTGCTAAGGAGGCAGAGTGCAGAGTGGATCTGAGGGAAAGTTGTCTAAAATGAGAAAATCTGGCTTTCACTCTCTACATCTGCACAACAAAATATCTGGTAGTACTTGGCCTGGAAGCAATGCACAAATACTCTGGATCTCTGTTCAACATAGTGAGTCCTTGTGGAAAAGACATATATGTATTTCTGTGAGTAGATATAGATGTATATGAGCATATTAAAATACCTTTAGTTGTACGAATGTTGCAACACCTCTGTGACACCAAGGCAATATGTGTAGTCAATCAGTGGAAGATCTGATTCAATCAGCAAAAATGGATCTCTAAATCTGGTGAGATTCAAAATGTTCAATCACAACTCCCCTCAGATATGAAACTGCTAACATAAATGTTAATAATGTCGAGGGTACTGCACCCACTGGTAGAAACAAGGGTTTTCTAAAAATAGAAATGACTGAGTGCACTATAAAAAAGGAGAAGAACTGCAAGACTTTGGCTAAAGATTTTCTTGTTTCATTTTTACCCCTCCTCTGGTGTCATGAGTGCAACCTTCCACAGCCAGCATGGACTTGTGGATTTGCAAAGGTGAGCAGCCTGAGAGCCCAGAGCAGGCACCCTTAACAGAGGCAGTACTAAGTTCAGACTCTCCTTACAGAGAGAGGGGAATTTCACCTCCCGTCTTTCACTGGATCCCTCTTTGCAGCCACCTCCTGTGGTGCCAGAGGTGAGCACAAGCTGGAGCGCTGACCAGCAGTATTTGTTCTGGAAACATTGGCAGTGACCCCACACTGGCTTGGTAGAGGTCATTTCCTTGGGTTTCATGTCATCTCTGTCACAGGGGGTCAAAACAACTTTGTCCATGCCTGCTGTACACTTGTGTGGGCTTGGGGAAAACTGGACTAAAACAGTGATCTTCTTATAACATGAAATATCTAGAAGCTTTTTAGGAAAAGTATGGGGAAAAGGGAGAACTTGTTCAGTTGTTGCAGCTTTAAGGTTTAAAAGCTCCATCAGTGACTGGATAACTTCTAAAATGAAATGTCAAGAGACTAAAAAGTAAACTTTTGTTTTGACAATACAGTTAATATCGTTGGTTTAATGACCACTGTGATGAAAAGCTATCTATTTTTAAAATATGTGTGTCTTTGCTTAAGTTACATGTCATCTCTGGATGTCCCAAAAATGGCTCCAGTGAATTTGGGGAGATGATACTTGGTAATGTTGAGACAGTTATTGTTAAAAGATAGAAACCAAGGAGGACTTTTTCCTTTTGTATTTTATGAATTGGAAAAAAACCCACCAGAATTTTAAAAAATATTGTATCTAATTTAGGGAAAACTCTTTGGGGAAAGTGAAAATGGAAACTGACTGGTCTGAGTACACTTAGACTAGAGTACTGTGCTTTTTAGAAAGTACTTGTGAACTGTGAAAGGCAAAAAGCCCAAGCAAAAGGTCAGTGGAGATGATAGTTTCCAGTACATTTATTTCCTAGTTAAATTGTGTCTTTTTCTTTTCCCCCATTTCTTGCAGGTTTCTGTTTTTTGCCATGTCATCTGACAGCCACCAGCTCCACACCCATTGCTACCAAGACTCACTAAGTTCTACTTGTCACAGTCTCTTGAACGTCAACAGTCACCCCCTGTCCAAGAGCTCCTCAAATCTGGCCTGTATTGGGAGTTTAGAGGAAAGGCAAAACAAACAGGAGCTGAAGAAAAGCCACAGTAGCACCATCTGCCATATCCTGGAAAACAGGAGTGATGCAAGGAGTGTGCAGAGTCCTGGATGGTCCTCCTCACAGCCTGGGATGGTGGGAATTGGATCAGAGGTCCCAACCATAAATGACCGGTCAGCCAATGACCATTCAGAGGCAAGAACTAAGAATACAAACCATGTTCTTGTCACTGAACAGTCCTCAGCATCCTGGGGAGTGGGGGACACTAAGATGTGTGTGAAGAGCAGCACTGCTGAGAGTGTTTCTTCAGCCTGCTTTGTTCACCAGCAAGGCATGTGTAAGATGGAAGAATCAGGGACTGCCCTTCAGAGAAGCCACTCAGATCTAACTTGCAGCTGCAAACAGCAGACTCATGTCACTCACATAGAAACCAGTGCTACTCAGTCCAGCCTAAGCTCTTCTGGCTGCAGACATGGTCCACCAGTGGCTAGGATGTCTTTCCAAACACAGAGATATGGATCAGAAACAAATCAAAACACATCTCACTGTCAAAACCTTGTGACTCATCTTCCAGTCCTACCTAGAGACCAACAAGTACCCACAAATACCTTTGACAGTGGCAGTATTCCACGTAACACTACTGTTTACACAGATCCTGGCACATTTCACACTGCTGTTCTAGGACCCCACATGCCTGGAAACAGTTTCCCAAACAGGACAATGTTCAGTCAAGCCCCTGGGATTATTCATGGTGGTCTGACTTATGGTAATATTCCAAACTCTGCCTACTCCCCCATGGTGATGACGGTTCACAACAACTCAGCGGGGCCCTGCAGTCTCAGGCAGGATGCCTTGAAGGCAGATGCCACCATCCCAGCCTATTGCCACTCCTTGCCCATCCCATCCATCCAGCTCATCCCACGGTTGGTGTGCTCCGTAAGTGAGACAGGAAAAGAGCAGGCAGCACCTGGCTACTTTCATTCCTTTTCTGCTTCAGACATTCTGACATATCCTAAGCTGGTATCTTCAGTAAGTGAATCAGGCCTGGATGCCAAGAAAATCCTAAAGTGCTGTAATGTTCCTGGAGAACAACTGCAACCTGCTCCTCAGGAGAGAGCTCCTCCAGAAGCCGAGGCTGCCTGTGTTGCTCTGAGCAGCCAGCAAGGTGCAGACATGGTAGTGACAACTAAGGATATGTGGACTATGACCTCTATGAATGACATAACCAAAGGCCTGAAACCGGCTCTGGAGCGCAGAGATGCCGAGGTACAAACTCTTCCAACCGTGGAATGCAAATCGGTGGCAACGAGCCCAGCAGCTGCAGCAGAAGGTCACTCACATGTGTTCCCAGAGGTGAACCTGGAGCAAGGCTTGGAGGCCCCCAAATCTCCAGTTCGTGAAGTGAGATGGGATGATGAAGGAATGACGTGGGAAGTGTATGGGGCATCTGTGGATCCAGAAGTCCTCGGGGTAGCCATTCAAAAACATCTCGAGTTTCAAATAGAACAGTTCCAGACAGAGCCTGCTGAGGCAGCTGGGAAAAGTAATGAGGAGCCACCCCCTGGAAAAACTGGGAAAAAAAGGCCTTTCAGAACAATGATGCATTCCCTGAGATATCCAAGCTGTTGTGCTCGCTCCAGTACTGCAGTGGAGTGAGCACAGCTGTAGGGTGTAGCATAGCTGTCCTGCTTTTAAATTGTACATAAATGCTGACTCTTAAGTGTTAACACAGTATATGTGGACAGCCCACATCAGGATGAGTGGGAAAAGTTCAGTGATCATCAATATACATTAAAGCAAGGAGAAGTCCATGGCTGGACCATATAAGAGAAAACATAAGATTATACTTAAATAATGCCATCCAAATGCTCTTGACTGTATTTAGTGTAGCACTGTTTCCTTCTATGTTAGTTTTAAATTATATTGTAAGGAATGGAATTTCTTTTTTAATGATACATCTTTTTGAAATAATGATGACTTTTTTCTGTATTTTAATAATTTAGGTTTAGAAAAATGCTTTAATCAAAGTTCTTAGCTTTAAATCACATTCCCTTAAATTGTTTTGGCAGCTGTTTTGCTGCTAATTTAATAATCCTGACTACAAGCCCACTTTAACTGTAGACAAAATAACAAACTTGTGTAATGTTCTATGACAAAGAATTGTAACTTTTTTCTAAATAACTGTGAAGTAATTTCAGTGTTGCTAGTCTGAACTCTTCCCTTAGCGAGCTCATGTAGTTAGAGGACACTCCACCAACTTTCCAATTAGTTTGTAGTTATGATGAATTACACTCTAAATATCCAGAACTTACATTCACCAAGTGATTGACACAAATGTACAGTATTACCAAAGATGACTGATGTAATGTGAATTGCTTACTGAATGTTTGTTTTAGAGACCTGAAACGGAAGCTGTTCAGATTAGTCTGTGGCACCACCATACCCTACAACTCACGAGCAGTTTTGGTTTGCTTATATTAAAAGTAATTTCCAGTGAGTTCTTTATATGTGCATCTATCCTGAGCAGTGATTATTTGGCTCTTGCATAAGCCACAGGGGACAGTTTGCATGTAACCTTTGCCTGTCTTGTGTTCCCTCTCTGCTCTGACGTCAGGCATCTGCTGAAAGTGAGACCTTGTGTCTTCCCCAAAGGACAGTCCTAAGGTTATTCTGAGTGCCTTGGTCATTTGGGCAGCTTAAAGATTTATTTTCTTCTAGAAACAACTTCACAAACAAGTTTTCAGTGAGAAATCTGTTATGATAGTGTAATGCAGCTGTAGTGCAGGGCCTGTTTGAAGTAAAAGACTTGTCAAAGAAACTGAGAATACTGTTTCTAGTGTCATATGTGCCTTTGGTGAATGCCTAAGATTCTTGGGGAAACGACATGTGCAATATTTTTTTTTTATGAGAGAAAAGAGAAACATCCATTTCTGTCTCAAAGGAAAATTTGCAATGTCTGAGAACTTACTGCTGTGGAATTTCTGACTCTTACTTTAAATGTGTGGGGTTGTGCTTTGTTGGTTTGGTTTGGTTTTTGTTCCAGTAAGTTAGCAGACTGACACCATAATGTTCACCTGACATTTGCATATCAAGAGGAACCCCTGGTGGTTAGGACAGCTTTAAATTTTCATCTATAAAATACTTAAATATAGGATCTCCTAGCTGGAATGTCCTGTGATTAATTTAATGATGTAGAGTAGTTCAAGATCAAATTTTCACTCCTGGGGAAAGTGGGATTTAACAGAGCTGGCTCCTTTGAAGTTCACCTTGTGTTCAGGAGGCTTCGTTTAGACGCTGGGACTTTGGCCTCAAAGAGGTCTGAGCTCAAAATGAGTTTTAGACAAACCAAGTGTGAAGCCACTGGAATATAACGCCTTACTCAGGATCCTCTTTAGCTGTGAGCATCTAAGTTCTGCTAATGATTCTCGATGTTAAAATTCCTTTTATTGAAGCTTTAATAGGAATAAGGAAGTAATGAGTAACTAAATAAAATTACTCTGCTGTTATTTAGAGTTTAGCTAAGCAGTTTCTATACAGGCTTATTTTATGGTCCAGAATATTGAATATTAATTTTTTTTCCTTTCTTCAAACATTACACTTTGAGAATTTTAAGCATTATAGTGGTATAAAACCTTGTGCTCTCTGTTAGCTTGTCCTTGGGTGTGCAGGAGAATTCAAGATTTGAAGAGTCAAACTAAAGCTTTAAAATAGCAAGGGTACCTTCCTCCCACGGCCATTGTAATCCATAGTTTGACAGGTGGAAAAACTGTATTCTCCTTCCCACCCTGCCATTCCAAGCACCTCTCCAAAATAAAGCCCCCAGCTGTAGGAAGATGATATAAGACCAGTATCGAACTGGTCAGAAAGAGAGAGTTTACAGAAGGGATGGAATAATATGGCAAAGCCTCTTAAATTCTTTGTCTGTTGCATTATAAAACCTGGAACAATTATTGTATTTCCTGCAGTTCTGGTGTCAATTACTCATGGTTTATGCATTAGTACGACTTGCTACTACAGTCCTAAATATGATTATCATTCCTGATTGAGAAAAATAAATTACAAGTAAAGGCAAAGGATACCAATGATTTGCAAGTTCAGAAAAACAGATGCTCACTCATTACAGACATTCTGAATCTTCATGTTATTAATCAGGGTTGCTGTTATTTACAAAAAGTAGTGTTTATGCTTGAGGACGTTCTACACTTTTGGAAAGGTTTAAAGTACAAGAATATAATGGAAATCTGAGGAAAAAAACCCCAACAACAATCATTCTATTATTATTAGCTACAGGGATAAAACAAGTTGTTTCACTTGTACAATCAAAGTCTTTAAAAAAGGGCTATTTGAATTCATTTCGCATTTGGGTTCAGTTTTTTAAAAAAATCAAATGTAGCCACTTTGTATATTAAGAATTCTCTGTTGAAGTGTTACTCTTGTAAATATGAGAACTCTGTTTTTAATATTTTCTAACTTAGGAAAATCCACATCCATTACATTCTACTCTTAAATATAAATAAAGTAGCAGGAAAACTCACACTAGATTTATGACTGAGTGGGTCAATGCTGAACACAGATGCTTGTCTAGCTAGGGTGAAATAGGCTGTATTATTTTCTCAAGCCCATTTGAAAACCAGTTTGCATTGCACCGTGCTGCCTCTGCTACCCAGCCTGAGTGCTCAGGTAGCAGTTCCAGCTGAGCAGATTGGGGCTGCCTTTCCCAGGAATTCTCAGGGAGGGATGCACTGGCACACTGGTGCTTAATGCTTTTGTCTCAGTGTGCCTTCTCTACCTTAACATGCAGGAGCAGCCCCAGTTAATGCAGTATTTTGGATATGTTATGTTGTCCCTAGACACTAACTAATGTCTCTAGAAGGATTTCATTGTACACTGTACATTGATACTTGAGGGCTGAGATTGATTATGGGCTGAGATGCTTAGCTCGGTGGCTCAGCAGAGATTGAAGGCAATTGATACTAATATCAGTATGTGCTGGAATCATTCTGAAATGGTGTTAGAATAATTAATTTCATTCTGAATTAGTATTTACTGTTACCATTTCTAGAGGAGAGACCAAAACATGTCAGACATTTGGCACTGACTATTATCATTGCAGTTTCCATTTGAGATAATCTTTGACTGGGGTTAAATACTGAAATAGAGCGTATTATCACAATGCTTTAAATAAAAACCATCCATAGTTAAATCAGTCTTTAAAAAAGCCAAAACAGCACACTAAACAGTTGCTTAGTCACTATCATATCAGTTACTATTAAAATCACTGTATTTGTTTGTTTGGTCCTCACCTGAACCTGTTTTGCTTTAGGAACCCCTTTTCCACAGAAAGCCTGTCTTCCTTCCAGATACAGCTTAAGAAAATTTCTGTTGTACAGCTGAGGAAAAGACCCCACAGAAAAATGCTTTTACACAGTCCTCTGGGACAGGGGTGAGTGAGAAGAGGAAAAGGCAGTCAGCTGTTCTGTACTGAAATGTAACCAAGATGTTTCAGGGAAAAAGAGCATCTCCACTGTATGGACAGAGCAATGTGTTTCTTCCTGATCACTTCTCTGCTTATAGCCAGTAAGAATAATGACAGGCTGGACTAATTGCATTATTGGATAGACATTTAGTCTTTTAAATCCAAAGCAGTAGTGACTTGTCTGGAGATGTGCTGAGGTAAGAAGCCTTCTAGAAGGATATAAGTCACTTTTAAAAAATGAGTAAGAAAAACAGTGTAGCTTTGCTGTAGGAAAAGTAATGTGTGGTGAAGCTGGGTTAAAGCAGAAGCTGAGAGTGGAGGTGAGATCAAGGGAGCCCAGCTCCACAGAGGGAATAGGGCTAGGTGTCCTCCAGACACTGCTACTGCCCCCTCTCTCAGGAGCTTTTCCAACTGTGAAATTGCAATGTTAATACTTCATTGCCATCTGTTCCTTTCAGACATGTTGAGGTGATTAATTTGTCTTCTTAAGCCCCTTGGAAATGAAAGCAGTTTATTAGTGCTAAGTAATACTGTTAATTGGCAAGAGAGAAAGAGGCAGCATGTGGGTTTATGAGTTGGAAATAAATAATTCTAATCAACTCTCACGGTACCAGTTAAATAACTTAGTGGAACTTGCTGCGTCAGTCTCTTGTGTCTTTCTCCTTCAGGGGACTTTAGGGTCTAGGATTAATTTCTAAATTTTATTTCTTTTCCCTTCATTCAGAACTATGGATCTGAAATGGTGAATATAATATTCTATTCATCTTCCTTCCAAAGCTCTGTTATTTATACAGGCCACAAGATCCATCTGACCCTCGTCAAAACAGGGGAATCGAATGCCTGTGAGCCTGTGTGCAGAGCCCTGGGCTGCTGGTGTCTGCAGGTACTGCCTGTCCACAAGTCCTGTGTGTCCTGCAAGCCCCTTGTGCCTGCTGAGGAAGGGAGCTGTGGTGCTTTCTGTTGGTGCTATAGTCCAGGTTATCCCACTCCCCTGCCCCTCCACAGGAGCAATTCTACAGAGCCATGTGGTTTTAAAGGGAAAGAGATGGGTAAGCTTTGTGGGTGATGTGGATTAGTGCGAATTTTGTTCCTTTTCTTGTTCAGAAAGCAACTTACACATAGCAGTTCTGCCCCATATAAAAATGGTTGTGCTCCCTTTTCACCTCTGCCAGCTGGAATG